CATGCTAAAAGAAAAAGTAAGACACTAAGCATTGGCCTTGTTTGATAATTCAATTCAGTACTTAAATTTAATGAGATTAAATCTTAACATGTTTAACATGTTCAAACACGTTTCATGATAAACAAATAGAGTATTTCAATTAATTAAGTGGATTTGAATTAACTAGGCAAAACTTACTTCAAAAAAATAAGTAAAAATTCATTTACATATCACTTAATGCTGCAGAATACTACTCAAATGTTAGGATTTCAAGATTAAACAATTTTATAAATTAACCAATTAAGATTTTAGATTTTAGATTTCAGATTTTGTCACTAAACATACTTCTCATTGGCACCCCCAAGAATTGTGGAGAAGTAAAAGTAAGATGACCAGACATTGGATCTAGCAAGAAATATGTCGATCAGAATTTAGGGTAGTTTTGTTATATAGTTGCCTAGTTGGTACATTCTATAAAATAGCCGAATAATAATTGGGATCTTTACAAAAATCAAAACCAGAGATTTGGAAACTGAATATTTTGGAACCAACTCCAATTCTTGATACAAATAGTTTGATTTTTCTTGTGAACCAAGTAAAGTATATATGTCTAACCTAATGTATATATAATCCGTTAACTAGAGAATTCTTTTGCCTGCTTGTTTGCATAAATTCCATCTAGACAACAAGGAGGTCCTACGCGATTCTTGCAATAAAATCATGGCCATCCCCACAGGTATATCAGTGCTTTATCCTTGTCTTAGCAACACCTTTGTATATGTCCTACAATGTTGCTACTCAGAATTTTTTTTTTTTTTTTTTTTGTGAAGATTGAGAGACATTGGGACCATTTGTTTAGCATAATTTGAGAAAAAAAAAAGAATAAATATTATTCAACTTGCATGATAAATATAATTTTTAACCATTTTTTTATCTCACATTCGTTAGATACAATGTTATTCCAGATAATTGTTATTTGCTAGTTGTGCAATTTTGCCTTCATATTAGCATCGAATAGAGTGATTGAAGGCTGGAATACGAGGAACTGTATATAAGCATCAAGTATGTAAATTGAAATCTACAGAATTCGATCTATACAAAAATGTCACCTTGGTTCAGTAATTACAGTACATACACACACACACACACACATATATATGTATGTATAATACTAAACTTAATAATCTATTTCATTAGCTTGATGGAATTTTTGCTAGTTGTCTTTTCCTTGGTTCTTGTTCTTGCAACTAAAAATGCAAATGGCGGCGGTGGATTTTCCTTTGATGAGTACTACTATCAAACATTCGGAGGCAATCATCTTACCATCCTTGACCAAGGAAACGAAGTTCAACTTCTATTGGACCAATCTACAGGTCAGATTACACAAGTAAAAGATTAATGTTGGTTTTTGGATGTTAATTCTTTGAGTTTTGGCTGTTAAACTACATAATATTTCCACACATAAATCTTTGATATATTTCAGACACATGTAACATGTTATATGAACTTTTCCGTTCATATACTGAAAATATCTCCAAAAATCCAATCTACATTAGGTATAAAGCTACAAAGATATTTTTCCTTTTTAAAAAACTTCTGGCAATACCTAATTGGTATTTTCTTGGTTATACATGTAGGTGCTGGCTTCAGTTCAAGAAGAGATTTTGGTTCAGGGTACTTTGGTATCAGCATGAAGATACCAGACAAAAACAGTACAGGGGTTGACACATCATTTTATGTAAATCACTAGATTTTACATACTTTAATTAATGATTTAGTCTACGTACGACTTATATATATATATATATATATATATATATTAAAAATGTCATAATTAATCTTTTCTATGTTATGTCTGAATTAACAGCTAATTTCAGTTCCAGTAGGACAACCAGTTGGAGGTGTGAAGCATTACGAGGTTGACATTGAATTTTTTGGGACCAATGGTAATCCTCATGTGCTGAGTACAAATGTGTTCATGAATGATTTTGGTGGGAAGGAGCAATTATTTCATCTCTGGTTTGATCCTACGGTAGATTTCCACAAGTATGAGATTCTTTGGAACCAAAACCAAATTGTGTAAGAATTCCTTTACAAATTCAAACTCTTATATATGTACTATTTGCTTTTCCCATCTATTCTTTCAATTTTGATTAATTAATTGGCTAAGCTTCTTACTTTCTTTTGTCAAGTTAACAAAATTCCTTGCTTTGCGATAATATTGTGAAGCTCTTGTTAAAGAACAAATAGAATTGGTTTTATGGGTATACAAATTCAAGAAAATAAAAACTTTTATATTTCTCTCAATGATAAATATTGGTAGACAGAAAAAGAAGCATAGATTCTACAGAATTAAAAGTATTTGAATAGAAGTCAGAAGTGATAATGATTAATGATTAATGTTGTTGATTGGAAATATCTTTAAAACATCCCTCACATTTTGTAAAATAATTTTTCGTCCCTTATTTTAAAAATATAATTTTACGTCCCTTACAAATTCACATTGATCAAATTTGGTCCCTACTTAGGCTTCTGACTAGTTTTTAGTCGGAATTCATCACGTGCCTTGCACGTGATCATATTTTAAGGGCAAAATTATCAAATCAAATTTTATATAATTCGATTCATAATCCCTTACATTTCACAAAATGAATTTTTTCATCCTTCACATTTTTCCAAATGAATTTTTTCATCTTTTTTTTTATCATGTACGTGAACAATTTTTTTTTAAATTCATGTATGTATCTATTTGATTTCAACTGAACAGTACGAATAGCATGTGGAATCAAATAGAGATATATTACATACTATTCGTATTGCTCAAGTGAAATCAAATAGATATATACATGGGTTTAAAAAAATTGTTAGTTTTTCACTTATATTCATTTTCTTTTACTCGAAATTTGAAAATAAAGAAGACATTTAATCCTAAATATTATCAAGCGTTTAGATCGAATTAAATTTGGACAGAAAAAAATAAACAAAAGAAAGTATGACAAAAAAAAATAAGTGATTGGCATTTTCAAATTTTAAGACAATCACAAGACAAGTAATTCAACTGTTGATCTTAAAAGTGTCGAGTAGAAATTTCATATTTAAACAAAAATTTGTTAGCATAATTATAGAATTCGAGTTAGGACCCATTAATTAGATAACCTTAGTATATAATTCAATAAATAAATTATTACCAAAAGAAAAATATCACAAATATTGAATAGGTTCAAATGGTGAAATCATATAAATATATACATGGGTTTCAAACAAAATTATTAGTTTTAAACTTCTATATATATCTATTGAATAGCATGTGTATAACTACGATTAGCATGTTTAGATGAAATCCAATAGAGATAAATTACATGTTATTCGTACTGTTCAGGTAAAATCAAATAGACATATACGTGGGTTTATAGAAAAAAAAACTATTCATACACATGATCAATGAGGGATGAAAAAATTCATTTTAAAAAATGTGAGGGATGGAAAAATTCATTTTTTGAAATGTGAGGAGTGAAACAATTCATTTTGTAAAATGTTAGGGACGAAAAAATTCATTTTGTGAAATGTGAGGGACTATGAATCAGATTATGTCAAAATTTAATTTAACAATTTTGCCCTTAAAAAATGATCACATGCAAGTCACGTGGTAGATTCCAGCAAAAAACTAATCAGAAACCTAAATAGGGACTAAATTTGGTTAATGTGAATTTGTAAGGGACGTAAAATTACACTTTCAAAAATAAGGGATGAAAAAAGTGATCTTGTAAAATATGAGATACATTTTAAACGATTTTCCCTTGTTGATTTTTTGCAGGTGGTTTGTCGATGAAACTCCAATCAGAGTTTGGAAAAACATGTCAAATCGGGGAGTGGGCTTTCCGGCAGTACCCATGCATGTGGAGGCAAGCATTTGGAATCCTAATTGGCTCGGAACCATAGATTGGAGACAAGGCCCATTTACGGCCCATTATCGTGAGTTTCCCATCAACGGTTGCCGCTACCAGGGTTCGAACCCACGGGACTGCTTTTCCCAAAATTATTATTGGAACCAACCGCAGTACAGCCAATTAAGTCCTGATCAACAACGTAAGCTTCGAGAAGCCAGGAGAAATTACATGTTCGAGGACAACTGTAATGACCCAATCAAGAAAGGCCAAGAATGCCAGTTTAATCAGTAGAATGATTTCTTGTTAGATAGCATCATGAACCATTTTTTTTATTTATTGAGAAATGAGGAATATTAGTTTATTGGAGTTTCTACATATTTTTTTTTTCAGAAGATGGTTTGGGAAAATAATTAACAGATAATCCATTAATACAAATAATCTAAGAATTGGATATAAATTAATTTTGCTAAAATACCTTTCAATACATACATACATACATACATATATATATATATATGTGTGTGTGTGTGTGTATATATATATATATATAGATGCAGGGGTTGTTATTGTTTTCTTTATAGAATCTTTTGTTGTTTTGTGATTTACATTAATGTTGATTTTGGTTTTTTAGTTGAGATTCCATAGGTATAGAAATTGAATCTTAACCATTAATGCTACATTTTCTGTTTTCAAACTTTTACAACCATTGGATTTAAGATGCTTCAAACTTAACCATTTATAAGAGGAAAAAAATGTCTAAATAACTGACATGTTGATGTGTGATTGTAAAAAAATATATATATGTAATTGATTTTCAAAAGTCTAATTAATTATGAGGAAATAGAATTCAAAATTTTTCTTAATTTCTTAAATTGAAAAAATAGATGAAATTGATTTGTGATTAACTAATTATACGGAAACATTGTATAGTTTCTTCACATTTGTAAATTGGAGAATGGACATCGTATTTTTGGGGTAGAGAAATTTTTTTTTTAATTTTTGAAAAAAGAAAACTAGATATGGCCCCATCAAACCGAGGTCTAAACAGAAAGGTATTGTCCATATATCTTATTCAAGAACCATCTACATATATATATCATTCATGAGCATTTGATTACTAATATGACAAGGAAGGAGCAAAAATGGAACTTCATTTTCTATTGATTAACTTGGCATTCTGGGCCATGCCTGTTTGAGTCCTTGCAATAATCTTTATACATATAATTTTTTCTTGCATTTTGTAATTTGCCTTGTTGCTTAGGGTCTAGTTGCCAATACTTGTTTTGATTCCAATAATAAGATTGAGAGGAACACAGGTCCTGCTTGGAACTTTGGTGATTGCATCCATCAATGCCAAACTCTCTATAGTGAGCCTTGAATGGCCCTTGATACCAATCTGGTGTCCCAAGATAGCTTGGATTCCAAATGCTTGCCTCCACATGCAATGGTCCTGTTGGGAATCCTACTCCTAGTTGTGTATTGTTCTTCCACACCCTAATTGGAGTGTCATCCACAAACCACCTGCAATTGCACAAAAATACATCATAAAATAATTTTAAAAGAAAGTTAGAACAATCCCTTTTATTTTATTAGTATGAAATATGTGGTAAAATTAGCTTTCTAGATTACATTATTGGTAACCTATAATGGACAAGGGCAGATGCAAACTTGTTGAATTTTTTGAAGCTGCTTAATTTCAAGGATAAATAACACAAAGTTTATTGCTTTTGGGGTTAATGGACTCAGATGCCTTGAAACATGCCAAGAGTCCCAAGTAAAGAAATTCTTACACAATTTGGTGTTGGTTCCAAAGGATCTCATAAGTGTGAAAACCCTTGGTAGGATCAAACCAAAGATGAAATTGTTGCTCCCTGTTTCCCAGATCATTTGCAAAGGCATTGGTGCTTATGATATGAGGATTACCATCAGTTCCATAAAACTCAATGTCAAACTCATAATGCTTCACACCTTCTACTGGTTGTCCTACTGGAACTGAAATTAACTGCAACAACAAATTGACAAGGGGAACAAAAACTTGAGAAAGAGTACTACAAGTGCTAAAATGATACTTAGGCAAATTAATGATTGTGTTTGTTTAGGTCATTTACATAAAATGATGTGATAAGCCCTTTACTGTTTTTCTCTGGTATCTTGATCTTCATGCGAAAATAGCCTGATCCAAAGTCTCTTTTCGAACTGAATCCAGCTCCTACACCACCCAAGAAACCAAATATTAGAGACGCCATAACCTGTTTTTTGCATGAGAAAGTTGGTCTAATGTTATCTTTTACTTTTTCCAATACAGATCTTTATTGTAGTGTAATTTACAGATACTGATTTATACTATCTTGAATTTGATTAAAAACATTTTAGATTGATTTTGTCGAATAGAGTATCTTCAGCTTGATATCCAGTAGCCAAACACAATAGGTTTTTTTTTTTTTTAAAAAAAAAAAAAAAAAAAAAAAAAAAAAAAGGCAGAAGACAAAATCCCTTTTACTGTTAACCTGAAGAAGAGTCCATTAGAAGTTGAACTTCATGTCCTTGATTGTAAACTGTGAGATGGCTACCTCCCCATGTTTGATAGTAGTTTCTATAAAATGGATCATCGCCATTGCCTTGGGCACAGTTAATCGCAGCAACAAAAACAATGGGGAAAATGATTAACAGATAATCCATTAATACAAATAATCTAAGAATTGGATATAAATGAATTTTGCTAAAATACCGCACAACACATACATACATATAGATGTAGGGGGTGTTATTGTTTTCCATATTTAATGAAATTAAATATTAGTTACAACTAATCTTTTAGAGTTTATCCTTCGTATAATTCATATGTGAAGGTCAACAAGTGGACAAGAAGTATAAAAATATCCAAGGAGGGTGTTATTAGAATCTTTTGTTGTTTTCTGATTTATGTTAATGTTGATTTTGGTTTTTTAGTTGAGAATAGAAATTGAATATTAACCATTAATGCTACATTTATTGTCTCCTAGAGGATCCCACTTTGAACTATTTTTTTTTTTTTTTTTCAAATAACCTCCCACCCCCTCCCTATATCCTTTCCAAGACCAACCACCAAGTTTAGAATTTGAACCCTAAACTTGTAAACATGGAGAACTTGACAATCGGGAGAACCTTAAGAGTTCTCCCCTAACCACTGAGCCAAATCCAATGGGTGCTTATTTATTGTTTCCAGCTCATTCAAATAGGGAGGGATAGGTGGGATGGTTTAGGGAGAGAGAGTGTAAGTGAAAGGTTTTGAATTTGAACCTTTCTACTTACATGTAAAAAAAATTATGAGATAAAATGGCTATTTGAATTCGGCTAGTTTAACCATAGTTATAAAACCCAACTTGGCCCAACGGTTAAATCATTCAAATTAGTGAATCAACTATAGGACTGGACTGGGTCACTAATTAGATCGGACAAGTAATAAATCAGTTGACCAATCAATGATCTGGTAGTTCAACCGGTGATTTTATTATTTTTGTAATTTAAAATATATTATTATATTATAACCGGGCACCAGTGGTTGAATCAGTCACCTCTCCTGGCGGCGGTCCGGGCCAAGTTTTAAAACTATGAGTTTTACAATAGCCTAAGTTTAAAATCATCTCAAGCTCTAACTTGAGGTCGCAATTGATTTTCGATATAATTAACATTCTATCCAATGACTGCCCACTAACACTAGGGATGACAATGAGGACGAGGGGCTAATGGGACCGGGGGGAATTCGCCCCCCTCTGGTTTAGAAATGGGGTGGGGTGCGGGGGAGTATACCCCAGCCTCATCCCCCACCCCGCCACCCATTAAAAAAAATAAATAAATATGTATATAATTATATATAATATTTAATTTAATTACTTACAAACTTATAATAATGATATTATTAGTTATATGTATTATATAATGCATATTAGTATATGTAATATAATTGATATTATCAATTATACTAATAATTATATATGTCTACTAATAGAAATTATTAATTGGTTATACTAAATTTACTAATACATTAATACTAAATCCATAATCACACTTAATACAAAAACACTTTTTTCTCAAAAAAAAAAGCACAAACACAATAATGAATTAGTGATTGTATTTGTACCAAAAGTGAAAACTTGACTATTTTAGTTGTATTTATTTTATCATGTTGGATTGTATTCAAATAACTTTTGTTTGATTGTTTTTATGAGTTTCAATTATGAAATTACAATGAATAATAACTTGGTGATGTGTTGATATTTTAGTACTTGATTATTTGCTAAAATTTAACTATAATAAAATTATATAACAAATGCCATCCTTAACTGACACTAACACTTGTTGAAAAATATAGTTCAGCTGTTCATATTTTGGAAAAGTATAATTAATAAAAGAAAGTATTTATATGCAGGTAGGGTGATAGTTGGTACTTACTAATATGTGTATTCATATGGTAGATTGTGAGTTGTTTAAGTGTATTAATGAATACAAAAAAAAAAAAAAAAGAGTTTTTCTAACAGTTGCCGTAGGCATTCATTAACACACCTAACTTCACCTAATCTACTATGTATATACACATACTAACAATTATTACCCTCCATTGCATTTATATACTTTCCCTATTTAATCTTACCTACTCTCACTTGTATTTATTTATTTTCTCTAAGTAATCTTATATTTCCAATAATATGACAACTGAAATCTATTTTAACAAGTGCTCCCGTTAGACCCAAAAAAAAAAAAATCTTATCATCAATTGAAGCAAAGGAAAAGAAAGAAAAAAAAATCTAAGACCTAGAAAATTTATAAATCAATCTGTTCATACCTGGTGAAAGAACAATGAGAAGGGTTTTTTTTTTTTTTTGAAAAAGAACTTGAGCACAGAAATGATATAAATAACTTTGCCATCTTTAAGCACATCAAAAAGTATGCCGTTAAGTTCTTTTAATATACCATTTGACAAACAGATTCAAGTAATTGTTTTCATATATGTTTTCATCAAAGTATAGTTTAATTTCCTAATCATGCAAGTACCACAAAAATTTCGACGGAAAAAAACATACAAAAAAGTGGCAAAGGTTTGAAAGACTACCTCAGGCAGTGAATAAGGTCTCTGGATTCCAAATCTTTTCCGAAATAAGATCAATAAGTAGTTTCCTCCAAAACACCAGTGAGATTGAAAGCTATGAATATGAGCTATTCGGTTTGGTGGATAATCGAATAAGTAGTTTGGTCATTTATAAATCAATATTGGATGGTCCCTACTAAGACTAATCTGTAGATGCAGGATACTATTGCTTTGCATTTGCGAAAATAGGGATAATACATTGCAGTGAATCTGAGTATGATATATTTCTCTAGGTTGTTCCTAGCTATTGTTGAGTACTTCCTAAGTAATTGTCCTACAAATGCATTCCCACAAATGTATCAGAAATTTGAATCAAGTTCAAGCAAATACTTAGATATTTTGTATAGAAAAACTTACTAGCCAACTAATCTCCTTTAGCCTTATTCTTGTAGTCAGCATCAAAGTGTGAGTTGTGTCTATTATTATTATTTTTATTTTATTTTGTCAACATCATATAATGGCTTTCTACAAATTATTAGAGATAAACATAATTTTTTTGAAAGAAAAAAAATCAATATCTAAAAAGAGTTTTTTCTTTGACTACTAGGGGTACAGTTAGAAATTAGTACGACAAAAATAGAACTTTCAAAAGTTCTGTACCTAAAAGCACAAATTTTCTTTGGCCGATGGGGGCACCAAAGACTGGCTCCGCCCTGTCGGTATACATCTTATTCATCAAATACAAAAGAGTTACTTAATCTTATTGTGTTTCACATTCTTAGCTTGAAAGCTCTATTTCACATGTGCTCTTTTTATGTTATAACTAAAAATGTTAATCATGTTAATCCTAGAGTTGGTGATTATGCGTTAGACATTTTACACGATGAAAATGGATCAATCCTTTGTGCTGTTAAACACTTTTTGTATAGAAATGAGGAGCTCTTGCTCCAATTGTAAAGTTCAGTTGATAATCAATATATTACTAATATCGTTTAAACAAAAAAAAAAAAATCTTATCCATTTGTGAATAGACCATATGAATAAATATATTAGCACCATATTATCATTCTATGCCTGTGATAATTAAATATAGTTCATTTGTCAATGGCACATGGTTCTTCACAATTACCAGTTTTTGGTCAGAGGTTAATTCAGAAAAAAAAATTAATTTTTTGGGGTTATACTGCATTAAATTACATAGTTCTTCCATTTAGTTCAATTTTCAGCTTGGCACAGAAATCATATTGTCGTGGAAGCCCAAACGGAAGTGATGAGGGAAACGTTCGACTAAAAATGAAAAGGAAAAGGAAAAGGAAAAGGGCCTTTGGCCTTTTCTCAATGCTTCATTCAGATTGAAATACGAGGAGGTGATGTTCAAGATTTTGTTGAGAATTTTGTGGTGCTGTTATTGCTGTACATGAACATTACTGTTTCGTCCGACAATTCAATTGCAAAAGATAGGTGCCCAAAAATACATACTTGGTGATCACATCGACATAATTTGTTTGGGATAATTTACTTTTTAACCTTCTATAAAGTGTCATGTGATAAAGTAATAAACTATCGTCGAGTAAAAGATAATTTGTCCTTTTTTTCCCAAACGATATGGAAATAATGTCAGATATGCTAACATTTATGATGTAAATGATGTTTCCCCAAGAGCTGATCACTAGTGTTACACAAAAGTCAGAATTTGGGATGGTAGATGATATTTTCAAAATGCCGACTTTTGAAGATTGTTCGGGGATCCAGGGTTTATAAACACAAAAGTCTGAGTTTCCTCAGTTTTGGTGAAAAAGATGATATTTTAAAAAATTCAGGGGATGCTAAGGGCATTGTTTGAAACGTTAGAAGAGGTTTCTGAAATTATCCTAGAAAACAAAAACAAAAAACAAAAGACGAAAACCAAAAAGGTACTATTGGGTATGTTTCACGTGAAACATCTTGAAAACATATTTTGACCATATTCTCTAATGACGTCTCCAAACTTTTTCCCCTCATATTCTATAATCACATCAGTATTTATCTCATAACTTTCTAATCATGATTGGTTTGTTCAAGTAACTCACACATAATTTATTACTTAAATTCACCTTGAAACATTTTCTTAATTTAACTTTACTATTCTAAAAGATTGACACGTAATATTTGTTTTAAGAAATGCGACTTCACATTCATCCGATAAACTTTTTACAAAAGCGTTATAGCATTACTATTTTAAAGTTTCTAAATGCACCCAAGTTCTACTTAATTTATCATTTAAATACACATAGATAGAAAAAGCATTGCTCATTTATTATGCTCTCAAATCCCTTTGTAATTCACAAATTATTAAATCTATTTAATTACTCAAAATAATTGTAAGATTACAAATTGAAATACCATCTAACTCACTCACACAATTTAAAAGATTTGAGAGAATTTCCAATATTTCATCAAAGCCCTCAATCTAAATTGTTAGCACCTAAAAATCGTACAACGAAAGTATATTTGACACATATAAAAATGGGTGAGAGAGGAAAAAAAAAAACTAGAAGTATATCTGACTCTTATATTGAGAGTGATATAATATCAAAACAAGATTGTCCTTACAATAATCACGACTCTCTACAAGATTTCAGAATAC